CTACTACACTACTACTACTACGACTACTACTACGACTACTACTACGACTACGACTACGACTACTACGACTACTACTACTACTACTACTACTACTACAACTACTAGTACTACTACGACTACTACTACTACTACTACTACTACTACCAGTACCACTACTCCTACTCAGATTTGTGAACATGCTGGCATGGCGCAGTTTTAAAAGCGTTAAAGCACTGAATAGTTGGAAGTGCTCTAGCATCTGAACAACCTTTCCACGTTGGAACTTCTGCAGACTCGTGCAGCTTGGGACTAGCCAAAACTGCGGTAATTTAGACCATTGCTAGTTTGTGAACCGCCAGAAATGTTAGACATGTTGTAACAATTAACAGCATATGAAGCCTTGCAACCGTAGCATATGCTGCAATTTACAGCATTTGCAGCAACAGTGAACAGCCGTACTGGGCCTGGCTATTTGAAGGCTATTGTTTTTGATCCTTTTTTTCTTTGTTGATCCGCTTATTTCGTTTTGATCCTTTTGATTTTTTGATCCGGCAGCCCAGTTTGAGGCAGTTTCTGGAATGCTAATGAAGTTGAAGAGGCGTGTACATGTACGTGTAGCCAACATGATCTGGATAAAAATCGGTGTCTCCTCGACCCCTTAATTTTGGACCGACTTTACTCCGCGCTTCAAGAAATTATTAGAAGCTATCTCCACCTGCAATGCTGTTTCAACAACTGAGCAGGTCACAGAAGATCCTGAGCTCTGCAAGAGGATCCAAGAAGCTTCCGACCATTGGGGACGACCGGTTGCAGATGCAGCTGCAAGCTGTTCCAGCGCACCTGCTTCTTCCGAGACAGAAAGCAGCCAGCAGCACAAGCAAAGCTTGCAGCAGATGCTTGAAGAAAGTGAACAGGCCCGCTGAAGAAAGTAGTGGCCACGGGATTTTCACCTAGAAGCTGCGGGCACAGGCCGGCGTTGTCTTTTTGAGTGCCGTGTGGGCTGAACGCCTCGGTAAAGGCTTCGTTGCGGTAGTGCTCGGACACGTCGCCAAGTCGCAGAAGAATCCGAGTTTCCCTTGTTGTGAACGTGTTGGCTTTTTTGCATAAGCATATAACATCTCTGCCATCAACGAAACGAGGCGCCGGACGAGTGGATCGGCAACAATGACAAGCTCAGCAAGGCCTCGCATCTTGCCGTGTCTTACGGCTGAAGAGGGTACTACTCGTAGTAACGACAACTTGCCCTTGCTTTCCCGGAGAAAGGTGTGAAAAGCCTGTGATGTTGTCTTCCTCAATGCAGCAAGTTCAGCCGAGCTTCACGGGTTGTCCAAGGCTGCGGACTAGTTGGGTCCCAGCAAAGATTGCATTTCTGAGACCGAGCAAACCCAAGGGCTCTCTGGAGGTTCCCAGGATCCTTCAGGGAACCTCAGGGTCAACCTAAGCTCTGCATCCTTGACCGGATCCGTGACCTGAACTGATGGAAGGCGCGAGGGTTCATCAAAGAGTACGCGAGATTTCTTTACACCTGCGGAGGGCCCGGGCCTGAGAACTGTAGATTTGGAGCCTCTGCGTGGTCTAAAGTTTTGGTGCGGAAGGCTTGCACTTGGATCTGTTTGTAGTCCCTCATGCGTCTGCGAATTTTTCCAGAGCAGGCCGAAGAAATTTGAGTGTGGTTCCAAAGTTTCCTTCAATGGCGGATGAAGGAGCCTGCCTACGTCAGGGCAAAAGGTGCGGTAAACACTAGAAGGTCGAGCCAGCTACTGCTATGCATCCATGCTGAACGGTCAAGACCCGAAACTTACAAGCAACAACATCAGGCATCGAGTGACAGAATTTCGTTGCCTTAACAGGGAATCCCTCATCCGGAGAAAGCATGCTATCGTCATCGCGGAAGCAGCAGATGAAGCACAACACAGCGGACTCGCTGGGATTATGATGCTACATGCCTAGCCCGTCGTGGTGAAGAATCGCGCTAGATTATGACCCGTCCAAAGATTGCACTCTTCCTCTCCCCAAGGCAGGGCAATCATGAACTGTTGCAAGCCAAGCAGGGTAAAGACGCGGGCGGCACATGGCGGCAACACAGCACACGGTAGAGCTGTGAATCCCAGAAGCATCGTAGAATCGTAGACTGAATCTTTGAAGCAATCCGGCCACATCGTCGAGCGGCACAAGAGCTCCCGAAGATGACGAAGCACACAACAGGTGTTGTGTAAACGGTGTGCGAGAGAACCCAAGACAAATAGAAGATTTCAGCTTGATGTTCATCTCTGCGCAACCTGCCTCACCTCGCCTGTGCAGGTCCCGGGCCAGAAGCTCCAAAACCTGAGCCCTGCACACTTGAACATCTTTCAACCCTAAAGCCCTGTCGCAGCTGCTTAAGGCGTGGTCTCTTCTACCTCTTCCAGGTGCAGCGGCTTCGGCGCCTGTCCATCCATAGGTCGAAGTCGATCTGGCTGTCCCCAACAATCGGCACCCTAGATGCCCAGATCTCGCTCGTTTCTTCTCGAGGGCTTTGTGGCCCAAACCCGAACCTCGATGAACTCAGCTCGATGAACTCAGCGCAGGGTACACTCTCCATGTCCTTGGACACCTACACTCTCACCTTCCTTCTGGGCTGCTACATGTGCGGCCGCTGGGAGCTAGAGTTGAGATCTGATCACATCACTTGCCCATTTCATAAAGCTACACAGCTACACACGATGGACTGATACGTTCGGCTGATTGATGAGTCAACTTGTATCTGGGACCACAAGCTGTTATCTTTGCGAAGCGGCTGGGAGGACCCAACACAAGCTAATGCCGGTTTAACACTATGTGTTGGGTTTAGGGCTGCTGTTGTATGCTTTCGGGCATCAGGGCTCGGTGTTTTCCTTTAGGGTTGTCGTAATGCCCACCTTCGGGCATGTGCTGAGGCATGGGCATGGTGAACATTGCGATGCAGTATGGTTACTTTCAGGATCCGGTGCGCCCGTTGAAACGAGTTGCAGGGGCAGAGTCTTGGACCTGGGCGGCCTGCTGAAGGCGTGTGTTTGACATACAACACGATAGAGATACTTTCCATGCAGGCAGCGCAGCGCCGAAATGCTGAGAGCTGAGCTGAGCCAAGGTGTCGAGGCTGAGGTTTTGCTGCACTTTCCTAAGGCAGATGTCTACATCCATGTCACCTGAGCGTGAGCCAACTAGAGCATCGCCTAGAGTAGAGTCGATTGGGTGTGCAGGTGCACAAAACTGACCTGAGCTCCGTTTCCTCGTGAGCAAAAGCAGTGGTTAAATCGTCTGGTGCCTACCTGTGTTGAGTGTTTGAAGTGTTGGATTCGGCAGAAGCCAGTAAGTCAGTAAGCGTGTTTGCGCCACGGCCATGAAAATGACATGTCCCAATGTATTCTGCAAGTCTGTATAGCCAGAGACCGTGCAAGAACTCCCTTTGAGGGGTCGGAAATCCGATGTTGGATGCCTGATCCGCAGCCGGCTGTCAGCATCATCATGGCTCCACTGGGCGTTCTATGCTGAACAGCCACTAGGTGTGAGCATGTCGAATGTCCTCTATTGCGCATCGCAGACCTCATTGCTTGTTTTCAGACCTGAGTAGCGTCCTCTGAGGCAATTGGAGACACGCAGGACATCCAAAACTCTGCTCGAGATCTCACAGCGCCAAAGACCTTTCACAATCGCAACAGGTTATGTATTGGTAGTAACGGTAAAGTATACAACAGGAAAGACCGGAAAGGCAACAGTGTTTGTAAGCGCAAGAGTAAGGATTGGAGTGGGAAAGATATGATGATATACTCTTACTTCCAAGGAACCCAGGATTTGAAGCTCTTCAGAGCTGCGTGAATGCTTGGGACACCGTTGTGGCCATGCGCGCCGCACAACTCACCAGGCGGGTTGCGAGATTGCGCGCCTTCCCGTCATTTCTGGGACATGCTGTTGTGCGTCCGACTGGCACTGGCGGGATCTGGCGGGGATGATGAGTTGTATCTTGAGTTGGGAAGCAACTGAGTAGGCCCAGTAGGCTTTGGTTCGTAACGAATTGGCTATCGATCTCCATTTGGTGATTACGATCATGACCTGGCATTTCCGAGTAGTTCCAGCAACTAGGCTTCTCCTGAAGATCTACGTCTCAGAACCCAGGGTGTAGTTTCCCAGTTGTTTACCTAGTGACTTAGTCTCTATACATAGGAGCCTGTTTCTCAGATTCGCGTGTGACATCTAGCCTCAAGGCTTCATAGTCCATGTAGTTCTAGTAGAATGCACACCGTAATGCACACCCTAAGAAGCGTTCTGAGTCAGAGGTAAATCCCTACGTCTGTCTACTCAAAACCCACTGCGACTTCTTGCTGGGCCTGCGAACTGCAGATCCTACACGATATTCCGCCGCATGAACTTTCCGCGTTGCCTCCTCCAGAAACCCTAAGCCACAGCTACTTGATTCCTGTTGTCCCTAACCCTGAACCATCCTGAACCTCTTGAATTTTGAGGCTTAGGCTCAGGGTTCCACTTGGCGAGGCGGGCCTGGGTTCGCCTGCGACATCCGCAAGGTCTCCTCTGTCAGAGACCTGAAGGACGTAGGGCTCATGGGATGGGGACCCTAGTGCTTTCTGCGGTCAAGTAACCTTATTCACTGTAAGGGTTCAGGACTTCATGTTATAACAAGTTTTTTGAGCAAGGTAGTAACAGTTGTTTGCAGCCCAAATAAGTTTCGAACATCACGGCTTATTGGGTCGGGACTTAGGATACAGGACCTGGAGAGGTGAGGTGTGAGTTTTAGCCCTACACCTAAACCTTCATCATTCAGGTAGTTGGCGGAGGCAGGAACGTCCCAGTCATTCCGAGTTCACAGAGCCTGATCACCTGTCGACAGGAAAAGGAATATGCTGCTCGGCGTCTATGTCCACATTCATGTCAAGACATGCCAAAACATCCGTGTGTCCGTGCTTGTGTGGTACGGATGTGCTTGCACAAAGACACGTGCCCACTTTCATGCACGTACATGCCCTGTGGGTATGCATACAGTCATGAAAGCATCCCTACATGCCTTGCATATCGGTTTTCTTGATGCAAGCCGCAATGTTTACTCCCTTCTAGGACTCGCCGTCTTGCTTGGCACGTTTCGGGTTGAGCTGCATGTGTTAGCACGCAGCGAAGGACTTCGAGGAGTATTGCATCAGGCCTGGTGCAGCAACGTGTACGGGCTGAGCTGTTGTGCTCAAAGCTGCCTCCTGTCGCGTCAGAAGAAGAACTTCTCTGACTTCATCACCGTGGATGAAGGAGCCCTGCTAGAGGTCCTAACTAGTGTGATGCTTTTGAAACGGCGTCCTTCAATTGTCCCACAGTTTGAATTGATAAACCTTGCCCTTGACCGAACCCTTTACATGCAGCCGAGGCGCGAGATCCATAGTGTTTTTGGTTTGGCGGTAAATGCTAAACTCCAATCTGTGAACACCGAGATGTGCAACCTTGGCGCACGCAGCGTCGTGTCTGAAGTGCTGAGAGACCCAGCGAAGATCCACCGAGCAAAGAGGCATGAACGAGGTGCGGGACTGGCAATGTCCCCCCTTCAATACGCCCCGAAGGAGAGTAGAACTCACATGGCGAATTGAGAGCAGCTGCACCGCGAAGCATGATAGACCTCCAAACGACCTACCCATACGCCGCAGGTGGTGAAGTTTCTCAGTTTCGGGTGCCTGTAGTGTTCTGGACTCCTCTATGTAGCTTGCTGCAAGTAGCGTGTGAAAGCAGGAGCCAGCGGCGGGCTCAGGCTTGCCTTTGCAGCGGCATGCTTGCCACATCCGGAGAAAGTGGGCACCTTGGTGCTTGGAGGGGGGTGGGCATGGAGACGCTTTTTCACCTGGTTCAGGGCAGGATTCGGAAATGAGCGTTGCTTGTTTCGGTTTCTGCATTTCGGGGCCCGGGCACACTCCTGAGTTTGCAGATGGCGCCAAAGCCAGATGCAAGCTTTCCAGATTTAGTTCAAGTGTTCGTTTGTCGCAGGCGATCTGGCTATGTAGTTTGGGTATGAGAGGTGATACTTGGAATCCCGAACAACACGAGGTCTCGTACCAGGTTTTTGTGGTCCGGCCACCAAGCGATTTTGTGAACTGAACGTCAAGCTGCTAGCCAGAGTCAAGAATCTCCGAAAGTCCGAATGCACCGATCAGGTGAAGAAAGGAGGGGAAGATGGTTATTTCGTGCGGCACTTGTCATTTCCATGGTACTCATTGCAGAGCTGTCCAATGCCTTCGTAGTCCGTTTTGGAAGCTTTTAGAAGTTGTAGCTTCAACGGCATTGTCGTCACTGCACTGCAGGCCTGTCCTGCCAGCCGCTCTTTCGGCGTTGCAGACGGCGTTGGCGGCTGGGCCGACAGCGGCCGGGCCTACAGAGACGAGTGGAGCAGAACGCAGAAGGGGATTAGGCGTTGAATTTTGACTTGCCATGGGTCATGCTCTCTCAGAGCTTGCAGGGAAGGCTGGACATCGTCCAGCGTTTTGGACGGCACAATTTAGAAGCTTTCATGGGATATCCATAGCATTGTAGGACTGGTACCGCTTGCAGGCTTTACATGGTTCAGTCCACGGACGGGTAGAGCATGTGCTATTGCAGCGGTTCTTTTAGGATTCTTGCTTCTGTGGGCGAGGTCGATGTAGTGCTCAGATCCTGTTTGGTTGTTGCTCTTTCAGGCCCGTAATTAAGCTGGTGTAAATTAAACCCTCAACCTTGCTCCTGCTGTTTTCTTGTTGTACGTGCTGTTTTGGTTTCAGGCGAAGGAAACCTTGTCTCGATAACCCCTACACTGTGATGGGTTTTGCGACAGTGCTCGCTGCGGAGCCTGCGTGCAGCCGAGCTGATGCAGACTCGTAAGTCGCAGATCGAGCGATTTTCAAGGCGGTGTGGCTGATTTGGTGCCCACCAACTGTGACTCCGGGGCAACGGGGAAGCTCGATGGTGGCTGTTAAGTCAAAAAGCTTGAACTTGATGCAGCAGACGGTGTCGACGGTTTTAGCATAACCAAACAGAGGAGCCTCAACATGAGCTCTCAATTCCGAGCCCGGCGTGCCCTCCTCGCATAGTAGGACCTCGCGACAAATTATGCGCCACTGCCATCTTCATGGCCATCATCGTCATCAATATAAACATGGCAATCCTTGTTGATCATTGCCGTTCTCACCGTGGTCTTTCCCATGTTCATGATTCTTGACGGTCGTGAACATGGTCAGGATAATTATAGTGGTGATATGTGCATCATCACAGTTCACAAGAATGGACGCCAGAACATATCGAATCTGTGCGCACCGGTTCGCCCGAGGTGTTGACCCAGGACTCTTTGCTCGGCGCCTTCTCCGACTGTGTCTCGAGGCCGGGCACGGCAACAGAAAGGCCTAGTGTTCTTCTGGCTCCGCTGGGATGGACTCTGGACAGGCATCTCTACTCCAGCCCCCAACCCGACATCTTCAACTCCATGGTCTTTACATGTGTACATACACATACACACAACACACACATTTATTGTATATATATTTTACATGCATACCGCCCCATCAGTGATCTCCAGTTGACGAAGCTTCATGGTGAAACAGAAGGCAGAAGCTAGCAAGGGGGAATCGAAACTTCAGGGTTGCGTGTTGAGGGTTCATTGTTCACCTCCACTTCCCTGAAAGACGTAAGACTTGCGCTAGTTTTGACCATTCCACAGCAACCAAAGCCCAGTGTGGCAGAGATCTCTTCAATTGACAAAGCATTCAAGAACACCTACGGTTTGCAGATGGGCTTGATTAACGACGCCTGTCCCAACAAGAAGCTCTTCTGCAGCAATAAGTAACGTGCGAGATGGGACTTTTCAAAATCCCTTCGGTGTCTCTGGCAGAAGGGTTTTACTACTTACACAGGTGTCTGAGATTTCCGGTAACTACCCTTTCAAGGTCTTCAGCTTGTGCAGCTTTCGAAGCCGGCACGCTGGCACTTCCCCTAGCACCGGTTGTGGTACAGTGCAACAACAAGTCCTCGATAATCTGCAGGGAGTGGCAGAAGCATACTGATCGACCGCATTCACAAGCGGACTCCTTACTCCTTCTACTCTGCGGTAACGCTCCACGCTGTCGGCATCTACGCAATGCTTCCAGAGCACCTGAATAGAGAAGGTTCGGAGATCAGGGGCCGAAGCCTAGCGGGCCTAGCGGCCTCCGATCCAGGGCATCAGCTCTACGGACTCAGAGAGCGACCTTCAAGAGGACTGGGTTCAGGGATCCGCGGGTGTTCTGGAGAACGTATGTATGTACGTGTGTATGTATGTGTGTATATGTGTGT